CTCGGTTGTGTAGCGGTTTAACACATCGCTTTGCTTCTGATGGTCGCGGGTCAGATTCCTCGAGGGGTGCATATTAATTAAGTTCAATCAAGTAGTTATATTGTTGTATTACTGTAATCAAAGTAATTGTTGTGTTCATTGAACAGGAAAATGCAACAATTACGATTTTATGCCCATATTAGTAATATTTCTGTCACCACTGGCAGCCTACCATTTGTAAACGTTTCCATTTAATTTGAAATTAAAAATGAATCTGTATTATTGTAAAGATGTACAACATTTATTTGAAAAGAATACGAGCTGAGTTTCTTGTCCATTCCGAAATCTTTCCGAACTGACTAGATTTGACATATCATAAGAGTCTATAATAGACCTACATGAATAAAGATATTTTGAATTTCGAAAAAAGATACGATTGTGTATGTTATTACAAAATTGTTTCTTAGTGAGACTATTTTCGTAATATATTTACTACTTTCGTTATATATTGAATACGGGTGCTTCTCGTGTAGTATAGAAATTTGAAACAACTTCAAACAAAGAATACGAGCTGTGTCAGTACATTTATATTCATGAATATGATTGTCTCTATGTATATTATGTATGTATTTACAAAAAAAAGTATCCATGCATTCAATTCAAAATATCTTTATTCATGTAGGTCTATTACAGACTCTTATGATATGTCAAATCTACCGTCAGTTCGGAATGATATCGAGATGAGAAGAACTGACAAGTAACTCGTATTTTTTTCAAATAACAGTGGAACATGTTTATAATAATACAGTCATTAAAATTCAAAATTGGGAGAATAGAGTGACCAACAGCATATGCTATCGCAAAGAACAAAAAATATAATCAGTGTTCGCAACCTGAACAGACCAGTCCCCACAAGTAGCACCCGTTCACGAGTATGACGGATGAGCCAGCCATCATTGCACTCAACCATATTAGAGGGAGCACATCGACCCGGCCCACCACGCCGCCACAAGTTTGAACTTTATAGCGAGCATGACTGTTTCAAGTTACTCCACTACGTCATTTATATTATTTACAGCATAAATTGTACCAATCACAGTTTTCACCTATTACAATATTTAAATTAATAAATAAAGAAGCGAGTAGAGGTGGTCTTTTCGCGCTCTCCGTCCCGCTCGCACCTATGTGCGTAACACAATCGTTACCTAGTACGTGACACGGTGCGAGCGGGCGGAGTATAAATATAGGTGCCGAACGCGGCACAATGCGAGGAACGTAACCCTACGGGTGAGCTCCCCAGAAGTCCATGCCGAGCTTAACTCGGACCATCGACCGGTAACCCTCCTTCTGGGCCCTCCGCCCGACACGCCACTACCAACCAAAACAATAACAGACTGGCAACGACTCGAGAAATCTCTCGAATCGACCGACACACCGATACTCAACCGTATTCCCGACGTCATAGAGTCCACCGAGGACACTCTCCGTGCGATCGACTCGCTTACTAACCACCTGCAGTCGGCAGTCAAGGACTGCTCCAGGGAGGTACCGGCGACGGACGACCGTCGCTGGCAGCTCCCCGATGACGTAAGGAGGTTAATAAGCGATAAGAACGCAGCCACTAGAGCGTACGATCGCTACCCCTCCGAACCGAACCGGGTGCGCCTGCGAGCCTTACAGCGTAGCGGTAAGGAGCGCATCGCGCAGATCCGGGACGGCCGGTGGGGCAAGCTCCTAGAAGAGATAACGCCATGCCACACCGCGTACTGGCGCATAGCGAAATCTCTCAAAACCGACCAACACACAAACGACATGCCCCCGCTAGTCCGACCCGACAACACTATAGCCTTCTTCGACGAAGACAAGGCTGAGTGTCTAGCGTCCAACTTAGAAGCCCAATGCTCCCCCAGCACGCTCCCAGTCGAGGCAGGTCATCTCGAGAAGATAGACACCGAAGTCGAACGCATCGCGTCCACCCCGCCCACCGAATCCCTCTCACCAGTCACGCTTGATGAGGTCAAAACGCTAGTTAAACAACTACCTATCAAAAAATCACCCGGCTCAGACGGCATATCGAATAGATTAGTCAAAAGTCTGCCATCCCAACTTTTGTTATTACTCGTCGCTATTTTTAACGCGGCGCTGTCCAACGCTATATTTCCAGACAGCTGGAAAGAAGCCGTGGTCATTGGCATCCCCAAGCCCGGTAAAAATAAATCCGACCCGTCCAGTTATCGTCCTATCAGCCTCCTCAAGGCTATAGGCAAGCTGTACGAGCGAATCCTCCTCGCCCGCCTAAAGGAGTTTATATACTCCAAAGGCCTGCTCATCAATGAGCAGTTTGGCTTCCGAGCCAAACACTCATGCGTCCATCAAGTGCACCGCATCACGGAGCACATTCACAAAAACACTCTGTACTTCGCCACCAAGTCCCCCAAAGGCGGTACAGGCGTCCTATTTTTCGATGTGGCTAAGGCTTTCGATAAAGTCTGGCACAACGGCTTGATTTACAAGCTTCATCAGTTAGGTGTCCCCGACAGGCTAGTACTCATTGTACGAGACTTCCTGTCGAATCGCTCTTATCGCTACCGTATAAACGGAGCGTTATCCGACCCGCACCCCATACGAGCCGGCGTCCCTCAGGGCGCCGTCCTCTCTCCGATGCTCTACTCGTTGTACACCAACGACATCCCCAAATTCTCCGACTTAAAAGTCGAAATATCGCTGTTTGCCGATGACACGGCTCTCTTTACATCCGCCAAGTCCCGAGCGACAATAGTCAGACGGCTTCAGAAAGCCGTAACGATACTGGGCGAATGGTTCCGTCGGTGGCGCATAGAAGTCAATCCCGAAAAAAGTGCAGCAGTGTACTTTAGCAGGGAATTCGACTCTATGAATCACCCGATCGAACTATTCGGCCAAAACATCCCGTGGGTTTCGAAAACGAAATATCTCGGCGTCACCCTAGATAGGAAACTAACGTTTCGTCCTCACATCAAGCGTGACCGCGACCGAGCCGCCTTTATACTAGGGCGACTCTATCCTTTTATTAACAAGCACAGTAAAATGTCGCTTCGCAACAAGCTGACATTATACAAGGCTTGCATCCGTCCCATCATGACCTACGCTAGTCCCGTATTCGCCCACATACTCTACTGCTTAATCAACAGACTGCAGGTCATTCAGAATAGGTTTCTGCGTCGAGCCACCGGTGCGCCGTGGTTCGTTCGCAGCGTAGATCTCCACCGCGATCTTAATCTGCCCTCCATCAAGCAGTTTATGAAGGAAGCGTCTCGACGCTACTTCGACTCTGCCCAATCCCACCCTAATCCGCTTATAGTCAGTGCGGTCGACTACGCACCGAGGAGTAATATCCGACATACGCGACAACGTCGCCCGAGGCACGTTGGTTACGCCATTTATAACATTTTTATTGTTAACAATTATATATATTGTTATTTCGCTGGTCTGTTGTATTTGCAGTCAAGGTTTGTATATTTGTAATTTAGCGGGTAAGTATGTACCTGTAAAGTGGCGCCTCTGTCGCGTCACTGCGAGTGCAATTGTGCATCTATTCACTTCGAAAACTCTCTGATTTGTACAATCAACCGCCGTGCACGCTGCTAAAAGTTAATCTCGAATTTGGACAATATTTTTGTGTTTTGTGCTTATATCATTGTGATCTGTGCGACAGCCGTTTAGAGGTGGTCTCCAGGAGTACGAGCCCAATATATTGCAGGTAACAAGCCTTGAATGTTTTAATCAGTCAGCGAATTAACATCATATTTCTGAACCAGCGACCGCGCCCTACCGCATGGTGGTGAAACCTTATTTGCTATATTTTTCCGCAATTTCCCACCATAATATTTGATCCGTTCGACCCGGATTGTAATTAGTAATCAATTATATAAAATTCTAATTACGAAATTGGTGTACGTTGACAGTTCCGCACAGTTGAAATTGAACCTTATTGTTATATGAATAGGGCTAAGTTCGATTGTATTCATTAGCTAGTTCCGTAACTCGAAATACAAAAGTGCATAGGTATTTTATATTAACTACGCATTATAGTAATTTCATATTATTAACTACATATAAATTAAATTTCTTCATAAGAGATTAAACTTTATAAAAATTAAATCGCACGTAGCGTTGTACGGTTTTTATTTATGTACCCGCATATTTTTTGATAAACTCGTTTGCGTATAGTTCATGTCTCATTTTCTCTGCATTTCAAAATAGTCTGGTATATAAGTGTATTCATTGTTTATTGTATTTGCAAAATTAATTGTATTATACTGCACCGCATTACGTTGTATGGGTTGTTTCGTGTTCGATTATAATTATTTCTCACCCCGCATCGACTCGAACCTCCTACTACTGCGTAATTGAATCGCTTATGTACCTACTGAGTTAGTAAATGTATTTAATTTGAAATAATTCAGATATGTATTTGGGCACATAATTATAGTATGTATATATACATATATATAATCATAAACGTGATTACTTATTGTATTAGTACGCGGTTTGATAAATTGAATTTACTAGATTACATATTTAGGGTTTATCTATCTTTATATCTTCACGCTTAGGCCCATAAGGGGTAGGCAGAGATTATCTAATATAAATATTTAAATTTGGTTGTTTACCAATATTCGCAGTATAGTCTTATACTTAACCTCATATATAGGTCAAGGTTATACTGATAACTTGCAGGTGTCAGTCCGCGCGAATTTATGCAATATTTTTATAGTTGCATTTCTATTGTACAAATATTAAATGAATGTACCTACCGCTATAATTGTATCTAACTATTGTTTATAACAGTTAACTGTTGGTTAGATACAACTAACCGTTTGTTTTTGCATAAATACCTAATAGTAGGTTTATTGTAATTAATTTCTTAATATATTCACGCCTCTTTCTACTTGGGATTGGCAGAGTTTGGGTATAACATTTAGTACTATTGTTTATCTTATTTCCTAATATTGTATATCGATATAGTATATTATTGGAACATGGCTCAGGTTAATAAAATGGATATTAAGAAAAATCTTAAATTATCTGAAGCAAAACGTGCTCTTCTCTTTAGTCAGGTTCAATCTATATATCAATCGTCATCCAAATTAACGACAGATCGGACTACGGAGATCTTTTTAGTGAAAGCTCGTGAAGTAGACCACATACGATCGGAGTATGTGGATATCATCGATAAAATTAATTTATTGAATTTAGAATTAAATGACGATTACGTTGTAAATTATCAATACGTGAATGCGTTCGATGATATTTACTATCCAATTAAAACGGTTCTTGCGTCTTTAGAGAACATAACTCCACAATCTATCCCGAGCCACGAACCTAAACACGAAATAGATATTCCCCGCGTAATTTTACCCATGTTTGATGGGGAAATCTACAATTTTCCATTTTTTTATGAAACTTTTAAACGTTTAATTCATGAAAATAAAAGATTAACAGATTCTGAACGTATTCACCATTTGATGGGACACTTGTCCGGCCGTGCTAGGAACGTGTGTGCCGGTCTGGTGCCATGCGCTGAGAATTATACGGTCGTATGGAACGCCCTTATTGATAAATATCACGATAAGCGCGCGTTGGCAACGTCGTATTTAAATCAATTATTTTCTATGAAACCTCTTAACGGTCCTTCGGCAGTAAATTTAGAACGAACCATAGATAAATTCGCATCTTTAATCGCTGCATTAAAGCAGCTTAATATAAATGATCTGAGTGATTTTATTTTTGTCCATTTGGGATTAAAATTACTAGATTCTGATACCGCTAAATGTTTCGAAAATTCCATTCGTAGTTCAGAAGTACCTGACTATGATGAGTTTGTGAAATTTATCCGCGAGCATGTAAAAATATTACATCGTATCAATAACCGCACTGGTTCCGTCGGCGGGTCCGCCGCGACGGCGCCAGCTGCGAGCGCGCGCGCGCCGCCGCCCGCTGCTGCTGTTCGCCCGCCTCGCGCTTATTTAGCAGCAACTACTGCAGCTCCCGCACCCGTTTGTATGTCTGCGTCCGCGTTACCGGCTTCGTGTAATTTATGCAGGGAACCCTCGCCCTCGCAACTACATCTTTATAAATGCAAGCAATTTCTTGCACTCGCGCCTATTGATAGGTTTAAATTTATAAAAAGTAATCATTGCTGTGGCAACTGTTTAAGTCCACTGCATTCTACGTTGAAATGTAATTCAAAATCTTGTTGTAGTAAGTGCAATATGAAACATCATACGTTACTTCATTTTGGTAAGGACCAGTCGCAAGAGTCGCAACTAATCGATTCTACTGCTAATGTAGCATTAGTTGATGAGGACGAAAACCCGTCCTTTGATGACATTTCTGTACCTAACGTCGCCATTTGTAGTTTGTCATCAACTCAAGGAGTCATGTCGCCACGTGCCGTGCGTGCCTCGACAGAAGTGTTGGCTACTGCAAAGGTATATGCCATTGGTCGCGACGGTCGTGACGTCACAATTAGGTGTCTGTTAGACCCTGGTTCCCAAAAACATTATGTTACGGCTAGATGTTGTTCTAAATTAGGTCTCAATGTTAACCGTAGCGCACCTGTCGTTGTTAAAGGCATAGGTGGCGCTTCTCAAGTAATTAAGGGATCTGTAAATATGACTTTCAAATCACGGTTTAACACTAAATTTCAGTTTAATATTCAACCGCTAGTGTTAAACCAAATTACTTGTTCTCTCCCTACATGCCCTGTAGACGCAATTAATTTCGAGAATTTTAGAAATATCCCACTGGCTGATGACTCGTGGGACACACCGGGTGAAATTGATTTATTAATCGGTGTTAATTTGTTCGCAAGGATGTTGTTGTCTGGTAAGGTAGTGAATCCTCCAGGCACGCCCAATGCCCTCGAGACTGTGTTGGGATATATCGTGCTCGGGGAAGCGCCTACGCTTGCGCAATCCCCGCGTTCATTAGCGTTGTGTACTACCGCTTCTTGTCAAATTGAGGCGTTAGTTAGAAAATTTTGGGAAATTGAGGAGGTAGAATCCAAATCTATTCTTAATGTAGATGATAAACATTGCGAGGAATTTTATACTGCCACGACTACTCGTGATTCAGCAGGCAAATATAAAGTGGCATTGCCATTTAAATGTAGCCCCGACTTACTTGGTAACTCCTTTGACGTCGCAAAACGCAGATTTTTATATTTGGAGCGAAAATTTATTGCACAACCCCAATTAAAGCTTTTATATGATGACGTCATACAGGATTATATAAATAAATTGTATTTGTCGCCGGTGCATAGTGCACAGGAACGAAGTGATCGCTGTTATTACATTCCACACCACGCTGTAGTGCGTGCAGATAAAAGTAGTACGAAGGTGAGACCCGTGCTAGACGCCAGTGCGAAGTCGAATAATGGATTGTCTTTAAACGATGTCCTGCACAGTGGTCCCAACTTACAAAGGGATCTTTTGACTATATTATTAAACTTACGTCTTTTTCCAATTGCCTTATCGGCTGATGTAAAACAAATGTATTTGAGAATAGAGGTACGTAAGGAAAATCGTTGCTTCCAACGTATCTTATATCGTTTTCGCCCTGACAATCCTGTTCAAATTTATGAATTTAATAGTGTTGCCTTTGGGCTTCGGTGTAGTCCATATTTGGCATTGCGCACCATAGCTCAACTTGCAATTGATGATGGCGCTCGCTTTCCTTTAGCTAAGGAAATCGTAAACAGAGATTTGTATATGGATGACATAGTAACTTCTATTATGAATCCTGAGTATGCTATAAATGCATCTCAAGAATTAATAGCATTATTTGCGGCAGGAGATTTCCAACTGGTTAAGTGGTCTAGTAACTGCAAGGAAGTTCTGTACAAAATTCCAGAAGATTATCGACTGTCACAACATGTAGAATTTGATAAAAATGATGTTTTAAAAATTTTGGGGCTCTGTTGGGACCCTAGTAATGATGTTTTCACATTCAAGGTTATCCCAGACGAACGACCTTGTACTAAAAGAAATATATTATCTTCAGTCGCTCGTTTATTTGATGTTTTGGGTTTGGTAGCCCCGGTAATCCTATACGCAAAGCTGCTGATAAAAGAGTTATGGATTCTAAAGGTGGACTGGGATGCAACACCTCCTCCACATATAATAAAGTGTTGGTCTCAGTTCCAAACGGAACTACCGCTTATTTCGAAGTTATATTTTCCTCGTCACCTAGGGGTCGTAGATCAATGCTCCGTCACTATTTTAGGTTTCGCCGATGCTAGTCAGAAGGCTTACGGTGGGGTAGTTTACGTTCATGTAACACATGCACAAGGTTCAAACCAAATATCTTTGGTTTGTGCGAAATCAAAGGTTGCGCCGTTAAAGGTAATTTCGCTTGCTCGCCTTGAGCTTTGCGCTGCTGTAATTCTATCCCAGCTGATTAAACGTGTCTATGAAACTTATTCAGCTAGGTACCCTATAGATGCAATTTATGCATTTTCGGACTCCACAGTTGCATTAAACTGGATTCATTCATCGCCTCATAGGTGGCATACTTTTGTAGCCAATCGGGTTACGAAAATTCAGGATAATTTACAACCTGAACATTTTTATCATATAAAGGGCAGTGAGAACCCTAGCGATTGCCTCTCACGGGGGTTAACGCCAGCTCAATTATTGAGTCATCCACTTTGGCTCCATGGTCCCCTATGGGCCTCGTCTTCAAGGGATAATTGGCCTGTTAAACCCTTCACTGTGATTGCTAACGTAGACATACCTGAATTGAAACCGGTCTCAATGGTAATAGTTACGTCTATTGAACCCTTTCTATGCGAACTTTCACACAGGTTTTCATTTTGGTCTAAATTTATACGCGTTGCCTGTTATATTTTTAAATTTATTAAAAAATTACCGCTAGGCCCTATCACTAGTTCTGACTTAGAATTTGCAGAAAACGAAGTGTTTCGTCAAGTGCAATTAAAATATTTTGGTGATGAATTTCAGAATTTGAGTAATGACAAGCCATGCTCAAATCGCATCGGTAAATTGAATCCATTTTTAAATAATAATATTATTCGTGTTGGTGGACGCTTAGCTAATTCAAATGAAACATATGATTACAAACATCCCATTCTGCTACCCGGAAGGGATCACATTATTGAACTTCTTGTATCTTATCATCATATTAGAAATTTGCATACTGGTACAGCACTTTTAATGTCAATTTTACGAACAAAGTATTGGATTTTGGCTGCCAGACGTATAATTCGGTCTGTGCTATCTAAATGTAATGTATGTTTTCGGTTTAAACCTCGTTCAACCTATCCGATTATGGGAAACTTACCAGAGGCTAGGGTGAGAGAAACGCAAAAGGCATTTCTCCATACTGGAAGTGACTTTGCAGGGCCTTTTTATGTAACCCCGTACCGTGGTCGTGGTATAAAAAGTTGTAAGGCTTACGTATGTTTGTTTACTTGTTTAACTACGCGTTGCGTTCATATTGAATTGACGAGCGAGATGAGCACGGTTTGTTTTTTAGCTGCATTCAAGCGTTTTCTTTCACGACGTGGTCCTGTACAATGCATGTATTCGGATCACGGGACAAATTATATTGGCGCTAGGTCGTATTTGCGTGAACTTTATACTTTTCTCACAAATGAATATGACGGACCGTTTAAGCAAGAGCTTGCCGAAAATAGGATACAATGGAAGCTCATTCCACCAAATGCTCCTCATTTCGGCGGATGCTGGGAGAGTAATATCAAATGCCTTAAATCTAATTTATATAAAGTTATTGGGTCACAGATTTTGACGTATGAAGAACTCTCAACCGTACTCACTCAAATAGAGTGTTTATTAAATTCACGGCCTTTAACTGTTTTAAGTTCTGATCCATCAGAGCTGGAGGCTTTGACTCCTGCGCATTTTTTAAATACTTCTCCGCTTAAAATGCTTCCCGCATTGGAACGATTAGAAGCCTCTCCTAATCTTCTTAAGAGATACGAACTTCTTGATCAACTTATTAGATCTTTTTGGAAGCGTTGGCGTGGAGAATACTTACATACTTTGCAAGTTAGGCAGAAGTGGAACACTCCTGCTTTCCCTGTGCGTGAAGGTATGGTAGTTGTTGTAATGCAGGATAATGTTTTGCCATTACAATGGCCCCTTGGGCTTATTGTTGGAATTTATAAGGGCAAGGATAATGTAATACGTGTAGCTCAAGTGAAAACAAAGGCTGGTATTTTACAAAGGCCGGTGGTAAAACTGTGTCCGTTACCATCACAATAGCTATGACAAGCACAACATTAGGATTTAAGGTTTAATTTTATTTTATTACTTATTATTGCTAAGTTTTCTTTATACTATATTGTTAAGTTTATATTTATAATAAGGTTCAATTATCGCGAAACTGTCAATTTTGGTACTAGTTTTTACCTTTCTTCTTTGAAAGGGGTCCTTTCAAGGGCGGGGGAATGGTTACGCCATTTATAACATTTTTATTGTTAACAATTATATATATTGTTATTTCGCTGGTCTGTTGTATTTGCAGTCAAGGTTTGTATATTTGTAATTTAGCGGGTAAGTATGTACCTGTAAAGTGGCGCCTCTGTCGCGTCACTGCGAGTGCAATTGTGCATCTATTCACTTCGAAAACTCTCTGATTTGTACAATCAACCGCCGTGCACGCTGCTAAAAGTTAATCTCGAATTTGGACAATATTTTTGTGTTTTGTGCTTATATCATTGTGATCTGTGCGACAGCCGTTTAGAGGTGGTCTCCAGGAGTACGAGCCCAATATATTGCAGGTAACAAGCCTTGAATGTTTTAATCAGTCAGCGAATTAACATCATATTTCTGAACCAGCGACCGCGCCCTACCGCATGGTGGTGAAACCTTATTTGCTATATTTTTCCGCAATTTCCCACCACACGTTCTCATTGACCCCGACGACCCCATAACGGCAGGTAACCTCCCCACGGGCCCACCCGTTCCACCCCGACCACACTTTTACACACACACACGACACCGTCCTCGCCGGCGAAGACGACGACCTCAAACACACAATATCGCGCATTCAACCGGGCGCCTGCGCAGGCGCCCAGGCGCTCCACACCGGCGCCCCCGGTCGCCCCTCCGATCGATCCCCCGTCCAATTCAAACGGGGATCGAAATTACGACGGCCTGAGCCGAGGTTCGAACCCCTAGTGGTGCCCTCAGACTAAAGTCGTATCCGTCGGGCAGGAGTTGGCCTTCAGCCGCTCCATAAGTCCTTCCGCGGGTTTGGAGTGCCATCTGCACTCGCCCCATAACGTCCGGTGAAGCTGTAAAGGCCGGCTACGGCCTTAGAGTAGTCCGAAAAAAAAAAAAAAACGGCACAATGCATTCCGCTTCCATCGCTAGTACAGACCACCGAACTCTGCTCGAGAGGAGGCTCTTGTTTCCACCTGCACCCGCAACCTTACAAACAAGTACGGGAATAGATACCCGTACAGATTAGAGACCTTTTTTTTTTTACTTGGAGAAAATTCCTCATGGAGACCCGCCGGCCCCGGGGGAAGCCCGCGGGTACTGTGAGACTCCTACTCACTAAAAACCCCAAGGTGTCCCTCACCCAAAGCCATATGCCGGAGTCGCTGGATCGATAACAGTCAACCGCAACTAATCTGATTAGCGACCTAAGTTAACCAGTTGATTTTCTTGCAAGTTCTTCTCAATTGAATCTGTATACTAAATTATAAATATTTATATACCTTATATTTCATTTCTTTATTTTACTTTGTTTAATTTTTATTATTTTAAAAATGGAGTACATGTGTAGCTGAATGGTCTCCAAGGGAAACAAAAAGAAAAAGAGGTAGACCACAGAGAAGAGCAGAGCAATATAGAGTACACTGGAAGGAATTAGAGGAGGCCATTGGCATAAGGCACTCTGTACTGCGGGATATAATATATGGGACACAGTTACCTAGATACATCAAAATAATAATTGCATTTAATAATGTTTAATAAGACAAATTCAATATTGTCTACTAAGCACTGTTGTGTCTAAACTGTGTCACCCCATCTTACATTTTCCTATTGTTATTTAGTATATAAGATCAATATTTCTATGTACATATTGTCAGTTTATTACCATCTGTAATATACATTGTCTCGACCAACAACATCATAACAAAAACATAATATAATAGGTAGAATATAATAGATATAAATAATGAAATTAATAATTAAACATAGGGAATCAAATTACTTAACAATTATGCAATTAATAATAGTAAAAAATAAATAGAGAGTATAATATAATAATATGAATGAACATCAATATGTAATAAAAAATGATGTATTGAAAAGTGATTAGAGAGATTAGAGTATTTATTATTATTGTTACTATTCAATATTATTTTACTTTACTGACACAAAAGAATAAAAATAAAGATAAAAAATGTAAAGTTAAACATTTGTTTTGGCTGAATTCCTATTGAGACGTAGAATAAAAAAAATCTATTCAAATGTGCCTAAATTTACGTTTAATTGAATACAGATTTTTTTTATATAATTTAATTTTACACGATAAAATAATAAATATACTTGATAGAGCTCTTATTATTTTATAAGTGCTGAATCAAAATTCTCTAAAAAAAATATTTATTCTGTATTTAATGTGTTTACTTACCAATAAATCAGAATAACATCCTTTTCCTTGCACTCGCAGATGACAAATTAAAAAACTTACGCGAAAAAAAAAACACTCAACACTTAAATAAATATCACCTTCTAGAGATTCACAGATTAAAAATTGTCTTTTTAAAAAATACTTTTATTAACTACTTGGGCATATACACAATAAATCTAAAGTACAATTTACAATAAATTGTATTTTTTGAAAAATTTCTAACACGATGACTCAAAAATATTGATTGCCATTAAAATATACGTTTTCTTTAACATAAATAATTAATTTTTATTACTGTCCATCCTATTTAGGACTATAGCGATTGGAATTTATCTTTCTACACTTATATTAGGCCGTAGAAATTGTCACATGTTATTAAATTGATGAATTAAACAGTTATGTGCCAAAAACGTAAGCACAATACCGCAAACAGCGGAAGAAACGAAAAATAATTGATAGTTGTTCAGTCGACTCATTTACCTACTTATTAGTGGTAGAACTGGTAGAATATTGACAGTAATTGAACGGTGTGGCCAGTTATTTCAACCTGATTATACTATTTTGTAATTTTTAATAGATACATTATTACGTTTATTAACATTAATTGCCACATGCTGAACTAGACTCGTTTTCGATTTTGTAGAAAACATTTGAGTATTACAATTTCAAGATAACCTGTTTAACCTGTGTGTTATGTACTAGGTTATGTATAAGTTATAATTATCATAACGTACTTATATCACAATATACTGTAACTAAAAAATTACTACCATACATGCAGAATTCGTAGATCATTCTATTTTTTGATAATTGCAACTATTTAGCTGTCAAGCAGGAAGTGTCAAGTCCAGCTGTAAATACCATACAGAATAATTTGAAATTAAAGAAATAGATAAATAATTAAAAGTTAACCAATCAAACAAAGAATTATTGTAAAAATCGTGTTATATTGTAATACACATCAATCTATCCTATTTTAGTTATTGTTCAAATCAAAACAAACAATTATTATTCTATAATAACAGATAATGCAAACATTTAGTAAATAATTACTCTGTGATGCCGACATGCAATTATTAAATGTTACACGCTATTCAATATTTTTCATTTGTTAAAAGTGCCTTAAATCGCCGGAGCTAGAAGAAGATACTTATTAATTCCTCAACTATTAGACAATGGACGATTCAGAATTAAACGCATCGGAGTTGGGAACATTTGATTACTGGCAGAAAGCGTACACGACTGAGATAATCAACTATGATGAACACGGCGACCCTGGTGAAGTGTGGTTTGGTGAGGACAGTGCGCAGAGGGTTATCGATTGGATATCAACTAGTGGGATCGATAAGGATATTTCTTTTGTTGATTTAGGTAATTTTAAAACTTAATACACCGTCTCTATGGTTTTGTGCCTTAGAAGGAGAATTATTAGATTTTAAATTTCGAACTATTCTATTGTTGCTTGCTGCTAGTCGTTTATGATCAGAAATAAAGAGGCGTGCTGTACCATAAAGATAGCCCGTAAAGATTGTTGTACTGAGAACTGTGGAACTGGGTATGATACAGGAAGTGCTTATAGCATTTGTAGTCTAGACTGGCAATGCATGAGTATAGGGGAAAGGGATTGTTAGTAATGTGGATTGATAACCCCATTGCAATGTACCATGTCAGGTTGACCTCCACGCGGTTCTCCCTGGAAACCATCATGATAAATTCCTGGTGAATTTGTCACGATGGGCTAACTGACCTGTCTTCATATTCGTCTAGTCATCCTCCACTGGTGCCCTGCCAGCGTAAATCGTTAGCGCAGGCTGGTGCACCATTTCATTATCATCCATAAAAAAAAAGTGCCAGTTCCCAGTGAACTTGCCATTATGTGATAACTAACCTGAATTCTGTCTCAGAATAAAAAACTACCTAAGTAATAATAACTGTTTAAGCGATTACACTATTATTTTGACAAAATTGGCAATATCACATGCTCATGGTCACTCTACACCCTCTAATTTGATTTTACAAATTAATCTGTATTATTGTAAACATGGAGATCTTTGGGGAGGCCTATGTCCAGCAGTCATGATGATGATGATGATTGTAAACATGTGCAAGCTCATTTGAAAAGAATACGAGCCGAGTCTCTTGTCAGTTCTTAGCTTGAAAGCACTCCGAACTGATAGTAGATTTGATATTATTGTGGTTTATAATAATAATAATAATAATCTCAGGACAATTCACACAGCGCCATCTAGACCCAAGTTAAGCTAGCTAAAGCTTGTGTTATGGGTACTAGATACCTGATACAAATACATAGATATTTTTTTTTTTGTAAATACATACTTATTATACATAGAAAACACCCAGACCGATACAAACAATCATACTCATGAATACAAATGTTTGTGCCGTGCGAGGAATCGAACCCGCGACCATCGGTCGTAAAGCGGTGTGCTAGACCACTAGACCACCGAGGTCGGTCATATATCATAAGACTCTGTAATAGAACTACGTGAATAAAGATATTTTGAATTTGAATTTGAAATTACGGTTACAATTTTTTGATCTTCAGGTTGTGGCAATGGATATTCCTTGCTGGAGCTAGCAAGACGAGGCTTTACCAATCTAATAGGTGTTGATTATTGCCCTGAAGCTATTATGTTAGCTAAGAAGATCACAAAGGAGGAGTTTCCATCAATCAAATACAAGGTACTAGCTGACCTTGCAACTTCTTCTACATGGGGGATTGTTAGTAATGTGGACCAATATCTAGACTACCATGTTATACAACCACTGTACCGTGTTGACCTCCACATGGTACCCTTGGAAACAGCCCTAACCTCATGTTCACCTTATCACCCTTCACTGGTGTCCCACCAGCATAAACCGTTAGTGCAGCCAGGTGTACCATTCCATAATCATCCATAAAAAAACACTATATTATATACTCACTAAAAAACATATTTAGAAGCACAAATCACACTGGCCAGAATGACATCTCTCGACTCTATTACAAAGTACCCACTTTAGTACATAACACAATATAATGAGAGCCGTAAGCTCATTTGTCCTCTATGCAGCAGCGCTGATGAGCATAAGGTCAGGTCAGTTAGCCCATCATGACTCTCATAAAATTCACCAAGAATTTATGACAACGGTTTTCAGTGGAAGCTGCCTGGAGAGTCAAGCTGACATGGTACATTGCTACCAGTGGGGTCATCAGTCCACAGTACTAACAATCCCATCCTCAATCAATCAGTAAGTGAAATTGAAAGATAGATAAATATCCCCTTTTAGTGATTACCACGCCCAAATTTTTTATAATCTCATTTTAAGAAAAGTTAAAATTGTTTTGTAATATATTTTTAGCTGTTTGATATAATAAAAGATGACCTATCAAATCTTGGTACAGAATATGGCATAGTTCATGATAAAGGAACCTATGATGCAGTCAGTTTGAATCCAGACAATCCAAAGGAGAACAGACAGAAGTATCTAGAACAAGTGACAAATATGCTATCTAACAATGGTGAGTTGATATCAGTTTTATTAATGACAAGCTGTACCCACACGTTCATCCGCGTAGAATTTAACCTTATTTTTCTGAAATAAAAGAATTTTTCTAAAATTTAAGTAGTTACTCCTTATTATATCAGTTACCTGCCAAAACAGTCCCATCAAAATCGGACAGACAGACAAAAAATGTAGAAAATGTTATTTTGGTGTATGTACCGTATTTATATTCATATGCATATAGTAAAAAACGGTTATTTCAATATTACAAACAGACACTCCAATTTTATTTATAAGTATAGACTAGCAACCGGTTTATACTACATTAAACACTATATTATGTAGCGACTCTCATCATTTAAGTTTAATTATTGTTTATGTCCAGGACTCTTCGTCATAACATCGTGTAATTGGACAGACCAAGAATTAATACAGCACTTTTCGGAGAAGATGAAATTGAAATGTGTTATACCAACGCCACAGTTCAAATTTGGCGGGAAAGTCGGCAGTGTCATATCATCTGTGGTATTTATTAAAAAATAACAGAAATCTGTGGTTTTTTTTTCTTAATGGATGACAATGCAATCGTGAACTGCCTACGAGAGTACGATGACAAGATGATCTTGAGGTCAGCTTAGTTTACTCATATACATATTATATTATCTGTGCTCATATTAACCTGTGTGACATAGTGACGATGGTATAAAGAGGGGATCGCATGGAGGTCAACCTGATATGGGCATGGTTTATTGCCAGCAAAGAGGGTATTAGGCTCCATTGCTAAAACTAGGGTAGAATTACCTACCACATGAATGAACTAAGAATTGTTTCAATTTTCTACATATTTTGTAGGTATCTAAAAACTGATATTTTAAAAAAGATATAAACAATATTATATTTTTCCTAATAGATCCTCAAAAAATATGAGTATGTTATACCAGTAATACTCCTACCGTCCAAGAACTAAGATGTCATGCCACTCGTCCTTTAATTTTATTGCTTAATAGCTTAAGTAAGTCAGTTAATTTCGGGGCAAAGGGGATCGCCCTGAGGCCCTATCCTAGGGGACCTACCGTACACCTAACCTCCCTCCCCCCCTAAGGAAGTGCGGATGACCAGTATCAGTGACTGCTTAATCTGTACCTTACAACCGGAACACAGATTCCGAATAGAAATAGGTGAGACAGGAGATGTACCCACGCATACGACTTTTTATATTGTACCTATGTCTACACATTTCAAATAGGAGTTTTTCAACAATTGTTACTTCAATACATATAGTTGTATGACTTCATTCTTAAGCTCTGAAAAGGTTTGCTATAAAAAAATGTTGATATTGACAGATTGTCTTTACTTGTCACTTGTGACACCTGCCACCTGCCTGCCTTTTTTTGTGTTATCAATCATATCTGGACGATAAAAGTGTTTTAAAAAATTTAATTACATATTTTTTAAATTACGATAACAGTGTAAAAAGTTAAATTTATTATTCCTGTTATCAGGAAATATAACTGAGGTTATTAGGTATTTTTAAAATAGTGCTTTGGTACGTGTAATGATTCTTTGTTTAAAGAAAGATGTTAATATTTTAATAATAATTGCAAAGAATAATACAGTTGCCTACAACTATTTATTTTAGTAGTAATTTTTTATTAAAGGAACCAATAAAAACAATAATGCAACTTCAAGAAAGATATATTACTTTTAACGCAATTTAAAGGCTTAACCTGTAGTCAACGACCAGTTGCCAGAGCCGTAAAACATATAAAAAATGTGCAAATTGTTATCACATTACTTACTTCTATCATTAATTTAATTTCATCCTTACTGATAAAGGAAATTTAGTTACGGTCTTTTCTCATCGTTTACTATTTGGTTTGTCTACAGTATATATCGCTAGTACTTAAATTGACATATTCCTAAAATTCTATACTAGAATTCAACGAGTACCAATTAAACTGGCTTCTGTTTTAAGATATCTTCTAATTCCACAGAAGATGACGGCCGCTACACCGGTGAAAACATCATGTATATTCTGTAACATTGTTAACAAGTTAGAAAACACTGAAATATTGTATGAGGATAATGAAGTTTGTGTTTTCCGGGATATAAAACCGGCCAGTCGATATCATATACTTACAGTGCCAAAACGACATATTCCAGATGCGAAATCACTTACTTCTGCTGATAAGGAGTTAGGTAAGAGTTTCTAATCTGTAACACGCTTACTGCTATCTTTATGACTTATAGACCGTTTTGTCTCCTTCGTAACTTTTAGATTTTATTATTCTACTAGCTACTCGCCCCGACTTCGCACGGCTGTACATGTATTATATATATAAACCTTTCTCTTGAATCACTATCTATTAAAATTAACCGCTTCAAAATCAGTTGCGTAGTTTTAAAGATTTAAGTCATTGGGACAGACAGTGACAGCAACTTTATTTTATACTAAGCAATGATGGGTAGCAATTGTATAAGTTTTTGTTTGAGATTAAAGATAATGATTATTATTATTATTATTTATGTAAATCAAATCTAAAATAATTTATGTTGGACATTTAGCCACTTAAGAAAGTCAAGTTTTTTTATGTTTTAATATATTTATTTAGTCCCATTCTGTATATTATAGATTTAATTGCGGCAAGAAAAAAGTGCCAAGTAATACAACAGATTTTTCTTAAGTCTGTTAACATTGTTTAATTATTTAGGTGTCTATGTCTAACTTTTAATAATAGGCTGTAATCTTAAATACATACAACTTAGGCAGAAAATTTCTTCAAACAGATTAGACCGATATTCATAGTATATGACACTTAAAAATGTAACATTGTTACATATTTGACTTTGGCCAGTACATACCATAACTACCAGTGAAAGCTGAGAAGGAAAATAATTAAAAAAGATATTTATTTCTTAGAATATGGTATGTACAATGGTAGTAATTATATAATATAAATTTTATCATATTCTGCTGTTTCCAGCATACAAATCCTTTAATCCAAGCATTAATAATACATTATAAATTCTAAACATTCATCATAACTTCTTACTTTAAAAACATTAGAATAGAATAGAAAATCATTTATTCAAATAAACTTAATTTAAGCACTTTTGAATAGTCAACAATTTTTTTTTAAATCTACCGCTTATTCAGAATGCTGTCTCATCACAAGAAGCATAAGCAAGAAACTTGTGTGTTGCTCTTTTAAACAATCCTTGTAGGTTCACATTTTACAAGTCGAAACATGTGAATACAAACTACCAACCAACACTAATTCATTTAGGCTCAAATATAAAAACACAATAAGATTAAATCAGTTGTAGTGATAAGAGCAGACCAGTCCCTACAAGCAGCACTTGTTCACGAGTATGATGGATGAGCCAGCCATTACTGGGCTGGACCATATTTTAGTGAGCCCAATGACCCGGCCAACCTCGCCATATGTCTGGACATTTTAGTGAGCATGACTACTCATTCCACTCGACCTCATCATAGCTACTCATTTAAATTTATTATATGGTAGATACAATATTCGCTCTTTACATGAGGATGCATGCGGCAATCACTACAAAAGCCGCTACGCAATCATATATCAAGAAAGCAGTATGAAAAGGAAATTATAACGTCCGCAAATTAAAATTAATCATTATTATATTGACAGCCTCCATGGTCTAGCGGTGTAGCACTTCCTTAGCTTACTTCCGATGGTTGCGGGTTCGATTCCTTGCAGAACACAAATATTTGTATTCATAAATATGATTTTTTGTGTAATTCTGGGTATTTTCTATGTATAATATTTATGTATTTATGAAAATAAAAATCTATGTATTTGTATCAGTTATTTAATACCCATAACACAAGCTCTAGCTAGCTTCAGCTTGGGTCTAGATGGCGCTCTGTGAATAGTACTGAGATTATTATTTATGAACATTTTAAATGAAGATCCCATGCATGAACTACTATTGCCATGCAATTTTGTATTGAATAATCAATAAAAAAAATTGAATTATTTGTATTGTGAGTACACATTATAGTTTTTATTACTACATGCATATGAATGTAAATACGGTACATACACCAAAATAACATTTTTTACAATTTTTGTATGCCTATCTGTTTGTTCCGGCTAATCTCTAAAATGGCTGGACCGATTTTCATGAGACTTTTTTTGACAGATATCTGATGTAATAAGGAGTAACTTAAGCTACTTTTATTTTATAAAAATGACGTTAAATTCCACGCAGACGAAGTCACGAGTACAGCTAGTATTCCATATAATATTAACAAAGTGTATATTCGCCATTTTCGAATTGCCCTCCTTAACAATAAAATTGGTTCTTTATGTCCCGAGAAAACTGGTTTAATTTATGTTTTATTAAATTTTCAGTGACCCATATGCTGTCGGTGGCTAAAGATCAAATAGTCAAGAACGAGCTATCGTTAGAGGACGCAAGGTTCGGATATCACTGGCCCCCCTTCACCAGCGTCAAACATCTACATTTACATGCAATAGCACCAGAGTCTGAGATGGGGTTCTTGGCTAAACTCGTATTCAAAAAGGATTCATATTGGTTTGTCTCTGTAAGTATTCTGTGTTTGTAAGTATTTAATTAATTAAGTAGTAAAAATTAAAAAAAAAAAAAAATAAATAAAGTAATTAATTTAATTAATTATATTAATTGGTGCAATAAAGAATTATAAATATATAAAAAACAAATAATATCTCCTTTGGAAAGTATACACTCTTTCCTGAGGAGGTAAAAACTATAACTCCTAAGAATATCCTTCAATTCTTGTCCCTGACGGGTCTTGGTAGCGGGATCTATACATAAAAATTGGAGTGTCTGTTTGTAATATTGAAATAACTGTTTTTTACTACATGCATATGAATATAAATACGGTACATACACCAAAATAACATAATTTACAATTTTTGTCTGTCTGTCTGTCTATCTGTTTGTTTCGGTTAATCTCTAAAATGGCTGGACCGATTTTCTCACAACTTTTATTGGCAAGTAGCTGATGTAATAAGGAGTAACTTAGACTACTTTTAATTTAGAAAAATAAAGTAAAAAAATTCAACACGGACGAAGTCGCGGGTCAGGTCAGACAAAAATTGTAAAAAATGTTACTTTGATGTATGTACCGTATTTATATTCATATGCATGTAGTAAAAAACGGTTATTTCAATGTTACAAACAGACACTCCAATTTTAATTATAAGTATAGATGACTGACTATTTTTCTGAAAAAGGGCGAGCATAGATCTATAGGACACTTACACCTAGGACCTACACAGACAGAGACCTAAACAGGTCTTACTTAGGCACCTGACAATAGCTCAAAGCAATAAAACAATCCCAAAAAAAATCCCATTTATATTTACAGCCATGACAATATGTATGTCCGTTTTGTTGCTTCTCAGATCTCATATAACTTTTTTTCTTTTCAGCCCGAGTACGTCATTTCAAGGCTATGATGAAGTTATTGCGGGTTCCGGTTTATTGTGATATATTTTGTCTGTCTGTCTTCTGGTGCTATTAATCATCATCATCTTCCTGCCCTTCAGCCATTGAAAAATGCAAGATTGGAGTTCGACAATTTAGTCCATAGTAATGTATTTGTGGGGTTGAAGTTAGGGTTGTAAGGGGTTTTTGGCGTCCATATAAGTTTCATCATCATCATCTTTCCACCCTTTAGTCATTGAATGATACAAGATTGGAGTTCGCCGTCCCCCCTCTGATTTAGTACATTAGTAACGGACTTATGAGGGGGGGGGGTTGAAGTTAGGGTTGTGGGGGAGATTTTCTCGTTCATTAAGGCCTATAAAAATTTAGAACACAAGCCTTATAGCTTATTTCTACATTTGCTCGCCTTTCTGACATTTCCTCTATTTGGTATTTTTTTTTATGTAATTATTTTAGTAAGTAATTACAGTTTTCTAAGTAGCTTTGACGTAGTCTAGTGTTTTGAGTAGTCATGCTCACTAAAATGTCCAGACTTGTGGCGGCGTGGTGGCCCGGGTCATTGGGCTCCCTAAAATATGGTCGAGTGCAGTGATGGCTCATCCGTCATACTCGTGAACAGGTGCTGCTTGTAGGGACTGGTCTGCTCTAATGACTATGACTGATCCTCTTATTAATTGTTTAACCAGTTGGTTATATATTCAATGTTTTTTCTATTTGAGTATTTAATTGAATTAGTGCAAATTGGTGGTTTGTATTCACACACTTAAACTTAAAAATCTAAAGTAATAATAAAATTATTTAAAATAGCAACACGCAAGTTTCTTGTGATGAGACAGCTTTCCGAACGAGTGGTAAATTAAAAAAATGTAATGACTATTCAAAAGTGCTTCAATGTAAGTTTATTTGAATAAATGATTTTCTATTCTATTATAATTACGTAAAGTCAGCGTTTTACGGCTCTACTCCATAGTATCTTTTTTTTTTCTCCATGGAATGGAAGTAAGAATAATATAAATGAAACCGTCATACTCGTAAAGGGGCGCCCATAAATTAAGTGAAGTGTTTTTTTGTATTTTCTGGTCCTCCCCTTAAACATATTTATTTATTAAAATATAACGTAAGTAATAACTTAGTACCATTAGTTCAATGTAAGTTATTAATGGACGATTTGTTAAAGTAATTTATATTTACAGTTAGATATTTAAAAATTTTGATTAAATCTATAAATTCAAATTCAAAGTTAATTTATCCCCTTAGTTGTGGAATTTATCAAAATCCTTTTTTAGGGGATGCCTACGTCATAGTAGATTTATGCATGCAAAGTCTCAGCCTGATCGGTTTAAAATTGGCAAAGTTTCATACAAACGTTCATCCCCTATTTTATCCCCTTGGGGGTAGAATTAATCAAAATCCTTTCTTAGCGGATGCCTACGTCATAACATCTACCTGCATGCCAAATTTCAGCCCGATCCGTCCAGTGGTTTGGGCTGTGCGTTGATAGATCACTATTCAGTCACCTTTGAGTTATATATAAATATAATTTGTTTCAATTGTTATTCAATTGAGTTTATTACCAGTTCTCAATTGGATGTATATATTGAACTGGACGGTAGGGAAAAAATATAATATAAAAAATTAGATGTTCATAAGCGGCTAGCTGGAAGATCTACATGATTAATGATTTTTGAATTTGAATTTAATGTTATATAAATACTATAGAATTGTAAATTATTTAACAATTATTTATTGTAATGTTAATAAATGGGTATGAAAATATTTTTTTTGTTATTTAACTACCACTTTACCGCCATTTCTTGCTTAGTGTTTGCGATCGCAAATAGCCCTTTACTTTATTTAAAAATAAAATTTTAAATTTCAAATTTCGAACGTCAGGCACAGAACATCGATGTTATTTTATATACAATTTTAGACTTCTCGAACATTCCGTGGCGTCATTATTGAAGTCAACGTACAATATATTCTAAATATTTTATTTATTGCAATTAAAACAAATTAACCACTGCACTGGAAAATTTTAGTCTTAAATCACTCCAATTTTCTTATACCATGTAAATCTATGTTTTATAAGATCATTCTTTGAATTTTTTTTTCTCTGCTACAAAAAATAATCATGTAACGAGAGCAATCAAAATAATGTAAAAGTTTTTCGGACTACCTAGTGCCGCAACTGGCCTTTACAGCTTCACCGGACGATAGGGGGCGAGTGCAGATGGCACTCCAAACCAAAATAAGGACTTATGGAGCGGCTGTAGGCCAATTCCCGCCTGACGGTTACGACTTTAGTTTGAGGACAAAGATAGGGGTTCGAACCTCAGCTCAGGTGGTCGTCATTTCGATCCCCGTTTGAATTGTACGGGGGATCGATCGGAGCGGATGTCAAAGATTGAAAAATCAAATACATGAATATCATTCCCGAATGGTTTGTAATTGTTGAGAAAAATTGAGATTATTAACGTAAATATTTGCAATACATCGTTTTAATAAATAATTCTTGAAAAAAACAGGCTGTAGCTTGTCTATTATACTTTATAAGGTGTCTACCATAATAGTTTCTAGCCGCGTGGAGGACGGCCCGCCGTTCCGAGCAATGAGGCTCTTGTCCCCATTACTACCGGTGTTTTAAGGGTCGCAACCATTTACCATCGGACGGGCCGTATACTTGCCAGCATCGCGGTAAAAAACCTCGATAAAACAAGATTCGGTAAGTATAAGTACATATTTAATATTCGCTTATGTCTGGTATGAGCAAATAAAAACCTATACAAAATTATTGAAATTTTTTTTTTTAATTCAAAAGCGTCACACGCATGTAAAAAAGTGAAGTGGCCATGTTAAGTGTAATGTACACATCTATTTCATGTACATTGACCCTAATAACGAGTATGAATATTTCAATTATATAACTTCATTGCCTAGTACCGGCCGATCTATTTAATGTAACAATTATCAATTAATTACTAATTACTGTATTTTGGTACGTGGGTAATAAGTATATCAATTATCAGTTTCTTATCACACCACCAGTGTTGCTATAACTCAATATAATTTTACGGTTACTGTAATTTTTAATTTCGAAGTAATAAGACCTAAAGACGCTTGCAGAGAGCACTGTGTCACGTGTGCCCACAATAAACCTGGACTTTACGTATAAAGCAATCTACTAATTACATTAAAGTCCATACCTTTGTTAATTCTTTCATTAATTAATTTCTAAAACCATATGTTTAACTAAAACCATATTGATTTTGATACAAATTATCTAGTATTTCTGAAATATTAACATTTCAACATCTAAACACTAATACAATTAATATTTTCTACAATTAATAAAAGGTTTTTGTGTATTATTTCAATATTAAATCTATATTTTCTATAACTGACTATGGTATTGATTGTAGGAACAAGAACAAATTTGGTCTGTTTTTTAATGATGACATCTGTGCCACTAGAATGATGACTATCACATAACGAACTAATGATTTTGTTTCATCAGGTGAAGCTAAAAGAAAAATCTTGAAATATGGCATAATGTTTAAGTTACGCTAAATTTAATTGTGAATACTAATTTTATTATAATTTTATATGAAATTGTAATACATTTGTTTTGTTTGTTGAAGAAGTTGTAAGTAAGAAACAAAAGCTATTTTGTTTCTTACTTAATTATTTTCAAAGAGGGTGTAGGTTCAGAAAGTTATCGTACTATTCTTACTATGCAGAAAATAATTGTATTTCAAAATTATACGGCATCCGTAACAATTACATTAGGTGTAACAAATAAAAATAACTAGCAACATTATTCAACTTAAATGTCAAAATTGTCAAGTGCGCTGTCAAGTGCAATTAATACAAGTGTGTATCAAAGTTCTTTCCTTTATATTATTATCTATTACATTAATTAAAATAAAAACTTATTTATCTGTGAAATCTATTAGCCATAACTAATTATTTGAATAGAATAATTTGTTTTATAAGAAAATGGCCACCCCGGCAGACGTACGAGCGGTTTTCGAGGAGAAACTAAGAGAAGGTGTACCGAATCCACCCGGGGAGTTTAACCCTGTCGATTTAGAGCGGGTTAAAAATGATAGGTATATGAAAAGGCTTCTAGCCCACCAGGGGAAGTCGCCGCAAGCCGCCGCTGACATGCTATGGGATATACTAACATGGAGAAAGACTGTTGGAGCGAGCGATATTAATGAAAGTACTATTCGTCTGGACTACCTCAAAGATGGGACGTTCTACCCTAGGGGTAGAGACGTCGACGGGTCGTTATTACTCGTTCTAAAAGCAAAACTACATATAAAAGGTCAAAAGGACTTTGAAGAGTTGAAGAAGTTGATCATTTACTGGTGTGATAGGATAGAAAGAGAGGAGAATGGAAAACCTATTACTTTATTCTTCGATATGGATGGCTGCGGGCTCAGTAACATGGACATGGAACTTATAAAATATTTAATTGGTATGTTCAAGTATTACTACCCTGCGTTCTTGAATTATATTGTTATTTATCAAATGCCGTGGGTGTTGTCTGCTGCTTTTAAAGTTGTTAAATCCTTACTGCCAGCGAAGGCTGTGGAACGAATGAAGTTTGTCGGAAAGGATAACTTGAAGGATGTTGTGCCACCCGAATTGGCTGAAGCGATAAATAGTAAGGACGATTATAAGTATGAATTCGTCCCGGAGAATAGAAGTACGGAGCAAACACCAAAGAAAGTGACGTTCGCAGAACAGGGAGACAGCCAGCATTCTCCTGGTGAGATGTTACGGTTGAATCCGAATGATACAATTGTATTTAAACACGATAATGATGATGTCACAGGTCAATTCACTATAACTAATATGGATGCAAGTGCAATATCATTCAAAATACGAACAACTTCACCCGACAAGTTCCGTGTTCGTCCCAGCTCTGGCGTATTAGCTAGTGGATCATCATTAACAGTGCTAATCGTGGTTCAACCTGGTTTCCAGCTACGTACAGTTGCGAAGGATAGGTTCCTCGTCATGTCTGTACAGATTCCAAAAACAGATTTGCTTCCGAAGGAACTAGCTGACATCTGGCAGAATTCGACTGGCAGCAAAGTGGACGAGTATCGCTTGAAGTGTCTCTTCCCCGAGAAAGAGATAGCAAGGAACGGAACAGTAGTGGATGGTAAGTCACCGGAGAAACAAGATACAGTTACGAAGGCATTAAACAATTTGCAGTCAAACTATGAAACGCTGCACAGAGATGTTAAGAGGTTGAAAGTTTTCCAATTCTTAACGTTATTCATGACAGCTGTCTCTGTCTTGCTAGGTTATTTGGTATATTTACACTCGAGCACGAGCGAGAGGTACTGTGAGCGCATGTAGCCTTTAAATTTTGTGGTTTTCAACACCACATTCGAAGCAAACACAGTCTCGAACAGCTTGCTTCTTGTCATATTAATGATAAACACAATTATGTTTGTAATATATTGTCATTTGGTGCGTAAAGTTGAATTATTGCATATAGTCAAACATAATGCATTTTAATTTGGGGCTATTTCTAGGTGTAATCTGGGTGTAATATCATTTATATAGTAATTACTAGCACAGGTTTGTGAGGTAGATATAGATTTTATTTATTTTTATTTAATTATTAAACAAGGAGTATACACATCGCCTGTTTACGACTATGTGCCGTACCTACTTCAGCTGCCAGCTTTGCTTTATTAATTGTTTTGGCTTGAAGGTAGGGTATACAGCAGTGAAAATACAAGGTATAATGTAAAGATATATATAGCCATAGCCTAGACTTTATTATTTTATATCCGGGTTGTTCAGTCAATGGTTGTCACCTAACAGCTAGTCAGATTATCCTTCCCGTTACATAATAAAAAAAAATACATATTTTAATAACTGTTTATGCTAATAGTAATTAAATTCACAGTAATTCTTATATGAAATAACTAATTTTATAACCTTGAAATCTGAAAAGAAAATTGATAAATATAATAACCTATAAATATCTAATAGGTATTTATAATTAAAACATTTTACTTGTAAGCAGGCGATGGTATCGTAGGTATTGTTTACAGGTTTTTAATTAAGTAAATTATACACAATATAGAGAAAAACAAAATGAACGATGTTACCAACTTCTTATAATAAAAGATTTAGTTACAATTAAAATAAAATTTTATACAGATATTTTCCATTTGCGCATAAACAGATTAAAAAAAATATCACAGTATTCATATCCTTAGCAAAGGAAATTGTCATTAATTTAAAAAAAGAAAAAATAAGACAAATGTTTTTTAATTGTATTGGCGCCATTATGGAAGACATCTTTTTTTATTTTTTTTATATGTCGCTATATACACAGTCATACAATCATAAGGATATGTAAATAATTTAAGTACGTTATCACCATACAAATAGTCAACTTGTTTACAATGAAAAAATCCTTTACCTTAAAACCAAGGACCAAGTTATTTATTTTTATTACTGTATTCTATTACTGGTGTAGTTGGAATTTCGGCTCTATTGTCATCGTTTTATGGTCTCTTATACTTCGATAGAAATACGTATGTACCTATCGCAGACACTTATCTATGCCATGTACGTGACAATTCTTTGAACATTATTCAGTGGCTTCTGTTATTTCTTGATTCTAAATACCGAAACTGTATTTCTACTAGTTAAACTCGCGACTTTGTACCCGTAAGAGAAAAACTGCCCCTTTGGTCCAGGGCCAGAACCAAATCAGACTATTTTTTAATCCCGGAGACTAAATTGACAGGTGTAAATGTCTAATTTTCAAATAATGTTACCACCTTATTAATACCGATTTGTTTAATCAAAAGTTTTTGTTTTAAATATATTAAAACAAAAATTTCATTTAAAGCTTCACACGCTGTTTCCACAACAGATATTCGAAATTTACGTACATATACTAGTGTTACGGTGTAGGTGTACTAAAGTCGTTTCCGTCAGGCGGGAGCTGGCTTTCAGCCGTTCCATAAGTCCTTCCTTATGTTTGGAGTGCCATCTGCACCCGGCCCCTATCGTCCGGTGAAGTTGTAAAGGCTAGCTACGGTTAACAGTATTAGAGTAGTCCGAAAAAGAAGCTATTTATTATAATATAGGATTATTGCATATTTGTTTTACAGTAGTAAAGTCACATGGTCCTTGATTTGTTCTGGAGACCAGCATATTGAGACATAATAAGTTTCAACTATATACTTCTATGTCAGATATAAATCTAACTGCACTTCAGACAGGAATTGGCATTCAGACGCTTCAGAAGTCTTTCCGTGAGCTTAAAGGCCAACTACGCCCAACAGTATTAGAATTTTTCAAAAAAAATACGTTATAACTGAAATACCAAAGTGGTATAAGTATAAATTTTAATAATTTCAGTCTATTATAAATTATTGCAAGGTTAACTATGGCTGTTTCAGGAGAAGCCTGATAAGCTACATAGTAATTAATAATGGGTATTAGTGATTCCATTGCTACTATATTAGTTAGACTTTACACGGGCCCGGTAGAAACTATTGTGATAAATTCCACGCCCCCCACTAGAAACTATCGTAAGAAATTCCTTGTGATTTCAAATTAAAAAATTATTTATTCAAGTAGAACAACAGCTGCTAAAAGAATCACGTTCATAACGTTTTTTTTTGTAATTAACATTTTTTCCCTACCGTCTAATTATATAGATACAACTGAGAAGAACTGGCAAGAAACTCAACTGATTTTCTTTTTTTTTCAAGCCAGTTTTTTACATTCTATACTTATATAGGTATTTATGTCTAACATAAAATGAGAATCCCGTGCATGAACATTGCCATGCATTTTTGTCATTCACCAGGAGGGGCTAACTGAACTGACTTCTCATCTTATCATCCTCCACTGGTGCCCTGTCAGAACCGTTAGCGCAGGCGGGTGCACCATTCCAATATCACTCATAAAAATAGTTTATTAACTAGAATTACCAACCGTACCGTTTTCCCAGTACAAGACTTATTTTTGGAGCGTCCCACGTCCTGATGGTTTTTAAGCAGCGTCCAATGTTTTTTTATAATAGTAATTCACCAGGATGTGCTAACTGTTCTGACTTCTCATCTCATCATCCTCCACTGGTGCTCCATCAGCGAGTAGCTCTAGAATTTGCATCGCATGATTGATATTACAAAATCGCATAGTACCTTGGACTTAATCAAACGATTAAACGTATATAAGTTGTTATAATTAAAAAGACTCATGATAACTGTTTATACGTAATTCGCACGCAAATCGTCTGATAAATAGATTTTTTATTACGATATCATTTTCTATTCATATCAACAATAAACTATTATTATCAATATGATATAAGTATGTTTTTTTTTAATGGATGATAATGGAATAGTGCTGGCGCTGGTTTAGCGCTGGCAGTGGAGGAAGTTAAGATGAACATGAGGTCAGGTCAGTTAGCACATCGTGATAAATTCACCAGGAATTCAATAACGGTATACGCTAGCGGAGGACATAAGACATACCAGTAGAGGATTATAAGATGAACATGAGTTAGGTCAGTTAGCACATAGTGACAAAGTCTTCGGGTAATTTATAATTCACCGAGAATTTATCACGATGCTTTCCAGAGGGAACTACGTGGAGGTCAACCTAACATGGTACATTGCTAGCAATGGGGTCAATAGCCGGCGTTACGAACAATCACCTACTTCCGCTATAAGCATGATTGTTTTATTTAATTTTGTATAGGAATACACTAAACTTGTTACAGAAATAGAATTTTGCAGAAACTCGTCTGCGTAATAACCTAAAAATACTTTACAAAATCATTGAAATCACTCTTTCAACACTTCATAAGGTTATGTATTATCGTTGAATAAAAATTAAATGTACAAGGTATAACGACATACATCTATGTTAAGATAAAAACAACTAAGCCGATAATAATTGTTTACGGCCAAGTATATTACACTATCACAAATATTTAACTATCAGATATTTATTAATCTATGCATCATATTGACTGAAAACGTGTAACGTTTTGTATTTCACGCGAGATAGTATGTACAAATTCTTGCTTTGTAAGATGTGTTTAGGTCGAGGTTGAGATATGGCAGAGAAATTACAGGATATGACAAGGTACGAGGCAAGTCATGAGATGTATCACGGTCATCACATGATGACATGATGACTTGTTTTTTTTTTTATCATAATTTGAGCGCGTTTGACCGCAATCTCACCTGATGTTAAGTGATGATGTGCTCTAAGCTGTTACACGCAAGCTCAAATAATGCCTATTTACTCTTGACTTAAAAGACCCAATGTTGTAAGAGGCAGGAAAAATAGACGCTGGTAGAGATTTCCACTCCTTAGCTGCTCGCATAAAGACAGATGATGCATCTACATATATATATATATATATATAAGCGACGGGTATCACTTACCATAAGGTCAGCCGTTAGCTTGTTTGCCAATAAAAAAAAATGAAAATATTAGCCGCTGTTTTACCCGCGTGATTTTGTAGCCTATGTATTATTCTGATGTAGCTATATTGCAGTAAAGTCTCATCAAAATCCTTTCAGTAGTTTTTGCATGAACGAGTAACGAACATCCATACATCCATTTATACTCATAAACTTTCGCGTTTATAATATTAACTAGCAGAGCCCACGGTTTCATCTGCGTTAAATTTCAGTATAAAAAATATAGTCTATATGTTATTCTGATGCATAAGCTATATTATTGTAACAAAATCTATTAAGTAGTTTCTGCATAAAAGAGTAACAAACATTCATCCATTTGACGACCTCGGTTATCTAGCGGTCAAGCACACCGCTTTACGACCGATGGTCACGGGTTCGATTCCTCGCACGGCACAAACATTTGTATTCATGAGTATGATTGTTTGTATCGGTCTGGGTGTTTTCTATGCATAATATGTATGTATTTACAAAAAAAAATATCTATGTATATATATCAGTTATCTAGTACCCATAACACAAGCTTTAGCTAGCTTAACTTGGGTCTAGATGACATTGTGAATTGTCCTGAGATTACAAAATCCATGCAGCCATACTCACAAATTTTCGTGTTTATTATATTAATAAGATCAACATAACCACACTCCACGTTCAAATCCTGAAACAACATCTAGTCAAGTATATTTAAGAGTGTTACAACATATATTTTATAGATAGACAAATGTATAAATATTATTGGAAATGTATTTGGCATTAATCAGTAATTCATGACGTTGGTAGTATCGTATGTTGATAATTTTATCTCCATATTTGTTAATACAATGGCCCCAATATGTTAAATATACATTTACAGTTATAATTATACATTTTACATACGTAAGTACAGAT